AAGACCAGATTGATTTACAGCAGAATTATATCGGACATTGAAAGAAGACCTACATCCAATACTGCTTAATTCATTAAAAAAGATAGAAATGGAAGGAGAACTTCCAAATTCCTTCTGTGAAGCCAGCATCACTCTAATATCAAATCCAGGTAAAGAGAAAAACAAAAAAGAAAACTATGGACCCATATCCTTAATGAACATAGATACAAAAATTCTCAACAAGATACTTGCAAACCATATACAGAGACACATCAAAAAGATCACTCACCATTATCAAATAGGCTTTATCCCAGAGATGCAGGGATGGTTCAATATACACAAGTCAATAAATGTCATTAATCATATAAATGGAGTCAAAGACAAAAACCACATGGTCATCTCAATAGATACAGAAAAGGCTTTTGAAAAAATTCAGCATGCATTTATGTTCAAAGTACTAGAGGGAACTGGACTGGAGGGAACATACCTCAACATAATTAAAGCTAGATACAACACACCCACAGCCAATATTATTCTAAATGGAAAAAAATTGGAACCATTCCCATTAAAATCAGGATCCAGACAAGGATGTCCACTATCTCCACTCCTTTTCAACACAGTGCTTGAAACTCTTGCTAGAGCAATAAGATGGGAGAAGGAAATTAAAGGGCTGCTAATTGGAAAAGAAGAGGTCACACTATCACTTTTTGCAGATGATATGATACCATACCTAAGAGATCCCAAAAGTCTCACCAGAAAACTCCTAGAACTGATCAACACTTTCAGCATATTGGAAGGTTATAAAATCAATCTACAAAAATCAGTAGCTTTTCTATATACCAATAACAAGCAATTGGAAAAAGAACACAGGGAAATGCTTCCATTCACAATTGCTGCAAAAAAAAAATTTAAAATATCTTGGAATAAATCTGATCAACTCTTAAGCTGAGCCTTCCTGCAACCATTTTCTGGCCTGATTATTTTTGGAACCACCCAAATTCAGTCTGAGTCAGTCTCTGCCCCGGGAGACGTAGCCGATTCTACTTTTTCTAGGGGCTTCCTAAATAGGCAAAGTATCAACGGAGTTGTGGGTCATGTAGTAACTTTTCTTCAGCACCATCCCACCCTTGTTCCCTGATAATCCCTGTAATGGTCTTGGCAGGAATGAAGATGCCCTGAACAGACACTTGTGCCATTCTTTTGGCTAAAAAAACTATTGAAATACGGACCCTGAGAAACTGGAATTTCCCCGGGAATCTCATGCAGGAAGAGAGAAAAGGCTGAAGCCTGGAAGGAGATTCCGTACGGTCTGACACTTGTGAGATCACTGTGCAACATGGCTGTGCTCATACTTTGCCGTGGACTACTTAGTGACGTTGTTTACTACCTGCTCTGAGCTGAAAGCTGAACCTCATGTCAAGAACCGGAGGTGGTCTGGGGTTGGGGTGGGGAGTGCCACTGACCTCTTGTTCTTCTTCACAATGTGAGCCCATTGGGGGAACCTCCTTTTTTCCTGCTTTTCAGTATTATTTGTTTATTAAAGTAGCTTGTTAAGGTTGCCACGGCCCATGTTCTGGACCTAATAATTTCAGTTATGCCTTGGATAGCCACGGCTATTTTCATAGACATATTCAGAAAGTAAAATGCTAACCTCGATGTTGCAGAGACATTCCTCCAACTTCGTAACAACTTCAGAAAACTCAGGTCTTCCCTGTAAATCAAGAAAAGACATTTTTCCTTTTAAGAATGAAAGAAAGAAAATTCTTTGGATTTGAAAATCGAGTATTTGCATTTGTAAAGAATGAGATTAGCAATAAAGTATATTTTTATTTAAAATGCACTTGTATTGAAGTGTTAATTGAATGTTCATTTACTGTTCACAGAGGGATGTTGAGTCTTTCTCTGATAAGAGTTTTAAGTCAGAATTCAGAACTACATTCAGATAATGAAATAGTGGCAAAGCTTTAATTAGCTTTGCATGCTTTTAAATGGCAGGTTGTCTTCTTCAAAATGAAATGAAAGAATAAAAATGAACACTGAAAACTATTAACTATCTCAGTGCCTTAGAATATGCTGTACATGTCCGTAGGAAAAGGGTCCCTGACAATAATTTTATAATTAGCTTCATTTTTGAAAAGACATTTCAGATTTAAATCTAAGATTAAGATAGAAACCCCAAATTATGCCCTATTTTAGGATTAAGGTTCTTATGTTCAAAAACTGCCACTGAAGATGTTGACTATTATGAACTTCGAAGTCACATAAGTTTGGTTAAATGGTTATTGTGTGACAGGTATTTCTCAAGCTTTTTCCAAGCTGTAAGGGGCATAAAATGAAAAAAGCCTACAGGACAAATTTTTGAAATTTTGGAAAATGCTGGTCTCTTTTAAAGAAATTATATGTCTCTGTGTGTTGGATCATGAGGACTGTGAACCCTATCACTTCTCTCTTTATGAGAGTTTTGCTGCTGAGAGGGGGACAGCCCCACTGAACATGCAGGCTCAGTAACCACCTAATTTAGAATCTTAGCAGAACAATTTCTCCCTTAATATGTGTTCCTCCCCTGAGGACACTGCTTCCTTCTGAGCCCTCCTGAGGGGAAGCTGCTCTCTATAGCACAGTCCTGTCCCTCTGAGTTGGTGGGATGGGGGCAGGGCGGCTGAGGGGCTGTGTCTTGCTGTGGCCAGTGCTTGCTGCTCCCTGATGGTCTCCCCTGTCAGCAGGCCAGCCTCCTGTCTTCCCGAGTCTGGCTCCCTGTTCTTTAACGTTTTAATGATCAGTTTACCGTCAAGCTCTCCACTACTTTGTACTCGTACTATGCATGAACAAAGTCCCTGGGTAACCTGGTCTTCAGGTCTCCAGCCTCTTCTCCTGTGAGTTCGCTCTCTCACTTTCTGCATCGTCACTCGCTCTGGTCCTACCTGTGTCCCATCCCTACAAGGTCTATAGGTCCTTCCATGCTTTCCACACACATGGGGCAGACACTCAGCTGCTCAGTAGGGCTACAGGAAATGAGCCGAGATGTGATTTGATTTGTGGCTCCCAGGACTTGTATGGACTATTTTCTCAGACTGGAATGGCCTGACTCTTATTCTCCTCCCAGGGAAATCTGCCACAGTCTTCAGATCCAACTCATAAGCTACATCCTTCCAGTGAGTATACAAGATGTTCCACAAAAAGATAGCTTTCCATCTTTAGTTAGATTGCTTAATATTTACTATTTTTATTTTATGTGTATGAGTGTGCTGCCTGCATGTTTGTGAGTGCACTGTGTCATGCAATGCCATGGAGGTCAGAAGAGGGCATCAGATTCACCTGGAACTGGAGTTAAGGATGGTTCGTAGCCACCATGTGGGTGCTGGGAATCAAACCTGGTTCCTCTTCAAGAATAGTCAGTGCTCTTAAGTGCTGAGCCATCTCTCCAGCCTCAATTTTCAATCTTTCTTATGAGCAGTACGCTATAACTATGTCTATAACACTAGCCACAAAGTATTTTGAAAGTGCGCATGGCTTTATTGACACTTGTAGATTTAGCGTAGCTCACCAGATCTATTTCAGTTCACTTTTGTTAAATCAAATTGCATTATTAAAAATAAAAATTCATCTGCCATCATCTCTCAGCTCCCTCAGAGCCACACCCTTCCCATGGGCATCACCACAGTCACCATCTGTTAGTGCAGCTTCTTGGCTGTTTTAAAAGAATGTCCGCAGCACAGTAGTCAGGGTGATCATTTGAGCATGTGCTTGAAGTAATGCCTCTCCCCAAACCTAGACTTACTTCCCATCTCATTTGAATACATGAAAAACAAGCACTGGCATTCCTGCCGGGCCCACAACAGCCCCTGCTGCTCTTGCACATGCTCTTCTTCCTTTTCCATGTGCCACCACACCCTCATGTGGAGTCCACCACATCCTTCCAATCCAATCATCCTCTGTAGTCTACCACGCCCTCATGTGGGATCCATCACACCCTCATGTGGGATGCACCACACCCTCTTGTGGGGTCTGCTTCATCCTCAGGTGGAGTCCCACTACACCTGTCATGTGGGTTATACCCACCCTGCTCCTCATGTGAAGTCCCTTATATCCCTTGTGTGGGGTCCACCCACGCTTCATGTCAAATTTACTACATCGTGGGGATTTTCCACCTGCTGCTCTCTTCAGCAGGATTTCCCACAGCTCTGTTTGCTGTAGGCCATGTTTAATTGGCACTTTATCAGAGAATTAGTCCTTGGCTGCCACATTTAGAGCCTGGAGGCTAAGGCTATCTCCTTTTGTTGTTTTACTTGTTCCATAGCTTCAGACGTCAAGGTGACTTAATATCTGAATTCATATTCATTTGCTAATTGTTTATATCACTCCACTGGATGCACACCCCAGGAGGGCAGAAAGTGTTATCTATGGCTCCCTCTCTAGGGTATACAGAACCAGCTTCTTGCACTTAGACTATATTCCAAAAATGCTTGCTGAAGTAATAATCAAGTTCATAATTTCATATTTTCTTTACATCTTATTTTGTTCTCAAGCTATTATATTATGTGGCTTAACAGCTTTATTACAGTCTGCTCCTCATTAAAACAAAAACAAGGACTGCCTTATAAGTATATGGCCCTTTTGACGGAAGATTCAAATGATATTAATATTTCATTGAGGAGGATTTAGGAAAGCTTAACCATAGTGAATTTATTGAACACCTAGACCGTCTCATGTAACTCCATAATACTATATATGGTAGACAATTATTATCTGCTTTATAAAAGAAAAAGCAGAAAATAAGAAAAATGAAGTAATTTATCAAAGATACTACCGTTGGTCAATAAGAGAACTGAGCTTAAAGCTAGACAGACCTATGGTCCTCATCTCCTCTCATGCTCTCTCTAAATGTGGCATCTAGATCTGTAAGGAATATCCATCACCTGCAGGAACATAAGAGTCAGATCCTGACTTCAGCACAGGGCATAGTAGGCACAATATCAGACTTCAGTGACAAGAACTGAATCCATGTCTGCTACCCCTGTGACTCCGAATGGTTTCTCAACCCCCTGGCCTTCCTTTTCCTAGCCTCAAACTGGATGCCCAGTTAAGAGAAATAAGATATTTGTGCAAAAATACTGCAAAGTCTAAAGTGCTCTGATAGAATTTAATTTGTTTAGGAATCTACTCATGGACATGCTCCGGGTGTGAGTTCTTTATGATCAAATGTGTGAACAGTTCACTTTAAATTCAAAACAAGGATTGCTGTCATTTGCCTGGTGTCTTGCAAGGACACCAAGGTGCTGAATGAGAAGCAGCTATGGGGCTGGAGAGATGGCTGGACACTCAGCAGTTAAGAGCACTGGTTGCTTTTGCAGAGGACCTATCACCCACATGGTGCTAATAATTAGAGTTCCAGGGGACCCAACGTCTTTTCTGGCATCCACAGGCATTACACACACATGGTACACTGGGACATGTGCAGGCAAAATACTCATAAAAAGTTTAAAAGAAACAGCTAGCACCAAGATGCTGAAATCATGCATAACAAAGGCTGGCACTGATGGCACAAAAATAAAATAAAAAATAAAAAGTTTAAAAGAAGCAGCTAGCACCAAGATGCTGAAATCATGCATAACAAAGGCTGGCACTGATGGTCCGTTGTCTGCTTTCTCTGCAGGTGGATGGCTGCTATCTCTTGCCTTCATGTTACCAGTGACGGTAGCTTGTCCTGCATCCTGTGTGGTGTGTGCCCAAGATGTCACCCTCTGTCACCAGCTAACCTACATAGTAGGTAATAAAGCTAATACCTCCACCCAGCAGCGGATTGTGTACCTGGAAATACATGGCTGTGCACTTCGCTCTGGTAACTGTTCTGCGCTAAGCCTGGAAGAGGCAACCTTTGATGGAGGAGGCCTTATGCAGTGACTAAGTGACCTTGCTTTATTTTCCTGTTCTTAGTGGTCACAATCAATGAGACTTTAAGGAAGTCAGAGGCAACTGAGGGCTTTTTAAAGATTTATTTAGCTAGTTGTTGCTTTTTATGTGTATACATGTGCCTGTATGAGTTTATGTGCACACATGTTTGCAGGAGCCCATGGAGGCCAGAAAAGAGCATTGGACCCCTGGAACTGGAGTAGTTAGAAGTGCACACATGTTCTGGGACCTGAACTCAGGTCCTCTGCAAGGGGAGTAAGCACTCAACCACTGACCCATCTCTCCAGCCCACAACTGAGAAGCTTCTGTTGGAAAAGAATATTACCAACTCATAAAACTACATATTTAAAAGGAAAAGAAAATTGAATCACTATAACTCTCCTTTTCCATGTTTTGTGCACATTTGAACCCAACCACCAGCCAAAAGAAACGTAAACAAATCTGAGACCTGAACTGCATTGTTCAGCATTAGTAAGATTAACTGACGTACCAGGGAAACACATTACTATCAAAGTGCATCTCTTTTTCTTGGTGGGAAATGGGCTGTAGAAATGCTAACAAGATATGCTGCCTGTATTCATTACATATTGCTCGCTTAAGTCAACAACTTAATAAGACACCTTATTAACAAATTTGAGGAGAATGTGATTCACATCCTGATATCTGAGAACAGATAAACAAGCTATAAGCTCTGCTGATGGAGAATTTTCAGAAATAAGTCTGAGTGAAGACAGAGTGAAAGGAGGTAATTTCTTTCATTTGTGAAGCCTCAAGACTGTCTGAGAATTAGGAGATACACACTATCATCTCTCTGAAAGGAGGATGTTTTAGCACTGGAAATACTTAAACATGAGTGATCCCCCCCGCCGCCCGCAGATAGGTTTCTAGATCTGTGTGATCACAGAGTTGATGTCGCTATAAGAAGCAGACAGTCTCATCCACACTGCTGTCCTTGCTGGTGTCTTCCTCACAAACACAGAGAGGCAGAGACTGCCTTCCCAGGACAGTCTGTCTCCTTCCAGAGGAGAATTGACAGAAATCAGGAGTTTGCTCATTCAGAGCCTGCAAATCCCAAAGGACTGGGCACCCACGCAAACAAAATCCCCAGCTCCCATCAGATACAGCCATGAGGGGAACGCAATGCCAAACTGGCCAGAATTAGTAGAATTTAAATAATCAGGAAGGCATGCTTTAGAAAGTGGTCCTATTGAAGCTCGGCTTGTGCGGCCGAGAGCAGCAATTCTTCCCATAGAAGGCGCTCTGAGGAGCCTTTGTCTTTTATGTTTTTATCTCTTTGTTTCAGCCAAGCAGTCAGAATTTCCAGGGGAACTGGGATTGCTTCCCCACGGCTGGCTGTCTAATACCACCTTCAGACCTCCCAGGGACAATGGGCTCCCTCCTTCTCCTGACGCTGTCATCTGCAGTCAAACAACTTTAGCATGATAAAGCTGTGCTACAATAACTCCTGATTACAATGCGTCTTTATTGAGTTAGAATGCTTTGATTTCTAATGACAGAGAAGTGATAGCTCAGAGGTGATTATGGGGAAGGGATTTAGCGGTCGGAAGCCTTGAGTACCACCTGTCATCACAGGGTGGACCTCATTGGAGGGAACAGATATCAGACAGGAGGCTAAGATGGCTCCAAATCAAATGAGAGCCCTGCTGCCAGAGCCCCCCGTTGTCGGGAGAGAATACATAGATCCTGACCAACCTGTCAACTCTTAGCCTGGTAAAAGAGCTAAAATCTAGCTCTTTACTCCCCATCCCCGGCCCACACCTGTATGTCTGAGAGAAAAGTTGACTTCCTGGTATTGCTGACAGGAAGCTGGTCAGGCAGCTGAGACAGGTCAGCTCTGGGGTGGGGTGAGGAGGGACTGTGGGGCCAGTAGAGCTACGACAGGCCATAACACAGCCTCAATGGAAGGCCGAAAGAGTCACCTGCAAAACATCCATGACAGGTGAGCCCAAGCAATAAATTAACTCCACATATCAAGGGCACATGTCCCAGGGACAGTTAAGGAAAAAGTCCCTCATTCCAACAGCCAACTTCTCCTTAAGCTTGGAGTCCTTTCCATTCTAACAATTTTCCCTCAGGTGATGAGACACCCTGTGTTCTCACTACGTGAACCCCACCTCAGGCCTGTGCTTCTCTTCCCACAGCAGCCCCTGAGACCACCAGGGTCCTAATCCTTACAGATGGACACCTCTCCTCTGTGGACAGCGGGAACCTGTCTCTCCTGGTTAACCTGGCCCTTCTCTCTCTGAGCAGAAACGCTATCCAGCGCATTCAGGAAGGTGCCCTGCACGGCCTCACCAGGCTGCGAACCTTGTCACTGGACCACAACTGCATCTCCAGTTCTGCTCTGTCTGGCCACACATTCAGCAAGCTGCGGCACCTGCGGGTGCTGGTGCTGAGCAGGAATGCCCTCCGCACTCTCAGAGCTGCCTGGTTCCGGAACACTAGGGCCCTGAGCCAGCTCCTGCTGGATGGCAACCAGATCACCAACCTCACTCGAGCTTCTTTTGGAGGCACGAACCTCCACAGCCTCAGACGTCTGGACTTATCCAACAATTTCATTTCCTACATTGAGAAGGATGTGTTCAGGCCCCTGCCTCGGCTTCAGGAAGTAGACCTTTCTGGAAACAGGTTGACTCATGTGCCTGATGTCTTCACTCCACTGCAGCACTTGACACTTCTGAACTTGGAGGAGAACCAGTGGGGATGCACCTGTGGACTGCACCCGCTGGCCCGCTTTCTAAGAAACTTCGGGAAGTCTCCAGTGCGCACACTGGCCAAGGACCTCAGCTTTCAGGTGTCCGCCCAAGCTGTGGCGAGTATAAAGAGCACCCCGAGGCTGTCAGAGGACGACTGCATCTCCAAGGATCACAACCTCACTCTGGCTCTGAAGGACAGACGTGGGCTCCTCCCAGGACAGGATGTGGCTCTGATGACTGTCCTTGGCTTTGCAGGTGAGAAGCAGGCTTCCCTCCTCCCCTCTGTCCTCCATATTCTCTACAAAACCTAGGGTGATGGGGCAGGATTGTGAAAGGGAGAGGCTGGGAGTGCGTGGCAGGGTGTCAACTGCACTGGCACAGGATGCCAGTACTTTCAGAAAAGCTGTCCAAGTGATGGAGGGATGTTCAGTGGTTAAGAGCACTGGCTGCTCTTGCAGAGGACCAGCGTTCTGATCACTCACATTACGGCTAATGACTGTCCATGACTTTAGTTCCAGGGGATCTGACACCCATTTCTGGCCTCCCAGGGCACTGAAAACTTGTGACACACATATACACAGGCAAAACGCTCATAAACATAAAATGTAAATTTTAGAAAGGAGAGCTAAGCACTAAGGTCTGGGTGTAACCAGCAGTAGAATCCCGAGTTCGACTTCGGTTTTCATGTCTCTGACGTAGAAGTAGTCCCTGTATCCCTTAAGCACCCATTCACTTCAACTCCGGCAGGGAAGTGGGCGTGGTCAGTTTCACACCAGCCAGTCAAATGACGCCTGAAATACACGCAGTCCTTCCTTCCACCGTGTACTGTTCATACTGCTTCAAAGAGTTTACACTCATTCACCAGAGTCCTGACCTGCTTTTTACAACGCTAGGAAACAGTGTGAGCTGCAAGCTTTCTCCTCAGGGCACTCAAGTCTATGTGCCTTTCCTATTGGTATAAAAGTCACCAAGAGGGAGCAGGAGAGATGACGCAGCAGGTAAAGGGACTTGCCACCAAGCTTGAGGACCTGAGTTCTACCCCCAGGAGTCACGTGGTGGAAAGAGAACCAACTCCTCTGAGTTGTTCTCTGACCTCCACAATGTGTCGTAGCCATCACACTAAGTAAATAATTAAAAAAATCAGCAGTGTACCCATGTATGATATTCTCAAAGAATAAATTAAACTGCTGTAGTCAAAATCATCAGTGGGATTTTCCAGGACCTCCAGAAGGTGCCGGCAATAGTCAGTGAAGGGCGTCTCCCCCGCAGGGCCTGTGGAAGGCGTCACTCAGGAGCTGAGTTCATGGCTGCCTCACCTGGACTCCCCAGGACTGAATCCTGGCTGTGCAGTTTCCACGTGTATGACTTAGCACCTCCCGCTGCTGTGCCTGTGCTTTTCTTCTACTTCAGGGTCCACTTTCCTAGGACTTGTATTTCTCCAATGCTTTCATACACCCAGAGCTTTCTAGGCCCACCAAGGAATTCTATAGAATAGCGGAACTCAACAAACTATGAATTGGTAGCAGATCTCACTGTATGAATGATATAAAGTAATGCTGCTAGTAGAAACTTCTTGAGTGAGTTATCCTTTCCCAAATCTGTGTCACAATGTCTTCATTGCACGGTGACACATCTACCTATGAGTACCCGTGATAATGACCTGTGCCTGCATGTGTGTGTGTGTATGTCTGTGTGTCTATAGATGTGTCTCTGTGTGTCTGTGTCTCTGTATGCATATGAGTCTGTGTGTGTGTCTATGTGCACGTATCTCTGTGTGTGTGCATGCGTGAATCTGTGTGTGAGTCTGTGTGTCCATGAGTCTGCATCTCTTGTGTATTTGAGTCCTTGTGTGTCTGTGTGTGTCTGTCTCTGTGTATCTGAGTCTGTGTGCATGTTTATGTATATTTCTGTGTATGCATGTGTGAGCCTGTGTTTATGCCTGTGTGTGTGTGTGTGTGTGTGTGTGTGTGTGAGTCTGTGTGTCTCTGCGTGCCTGTGTGGATGTGGGTGTGTGTTTGCATATATGTGCATGTGCATGCATGTGAGTCCCTGCACATGTTTCTATGTGTCTGTGAGTATGTCTGTGTATGTGTGTGTTTCTGTGTGCATGTGTGAGTCACGGGTGCACAGTGCTCCAAATCTGGAAGACCTTAGGCCCCACCAATGGCATCCAAGACTGAATGACGAATTTTGAATTTATGCTATAAATCATTATTTGACAACAGGCTTCCGTGAATTAATTGAATGCCAGCCTTTTGACTCTGATAGTTATACTTTATAGAAAACAGCATCAGGTCTAGGCAATGGATCTACCACCGGGAGGGGTCAAATGGCTTCTAAAGGGAATCCAAATCTTCTCAGAGGAATGAGTCCTCTTAAAATCTGTGTAGTTGCAGCAGTAATTAAAAATGCTAAGAAATAAATCCTACGATAGATGACACAATCATTACAGCAGCAGGCTTTCCTCACTGTGCTTAGGACACTAGGGACACTCATGGACATTCCACTGACAACACAGACAGGGACTGCCAGGGGGTTCAAATATGGTGGGAAGTGCTAGGCTAAACATGAAGCAGGTGCCTGTAGAATTGTTCCACCTATCATATTCGAAGGAGCCTTCTGAACCTTACAGAGAAAGGGGCTCTGTGGGACTTCCCCAACCTGCTTGGCCATAAAGAGTTTCAGGCAATGTATTCTGTGTACAGGGCATTGTTTTGGAAATATTAAGATAGTCTCTTTTATAATCATTATCAGAAACATACTCAGAAATAAATTCTAAGCTAATACCTCTTTATTTGTATAGAGATGGGCATGAATTCTGAAAGACAGGAAGCTTAAAATATATAGATTGATTCTGATAAAATCTGATTATAGACATTGGATTTTGTAGAACATCACAATAATGTATTCTTCATTTAATTGTTTTTTTGTTTTCTTTTTCTTTTGAGACCATGTCTTACTGTGTAGCCCTGACTAGACTGAAACTCACTATGTAGACCAGGTTTGCCTTGAACTCTCAGAAATCTTCCAGTTTCTGCCTCCCAAGTGCTGTGTTTAAAGGTGTATGCCACCACACTGAACTTCTTCAACTATTAAATATACTGTTAGGGGACAATGTTCTTCTTTTAAAAGACTGATTTCTTTTTAAAGACATTTGTTTTTATTTTATGTGCATGAGTGTGTGCCTGCATGTATGTAAGTGCACCACATCCATGTAATGCCCACGGAGATCAGAAGAGGGTATCAGATTCCCTGGAAGCAGAGTCACAGAAAGTTGTGAGCTGTCATGTGGGTGCTGGGAACTGAACCTGGGTCTTCTGCAAGACCAGCCAGTGCTGTTAACCACTGAGCTCTCTCTAGGCAGATTTCTTATATAATTTGCTCTTCTCTTTGAAGTGAAAGGATGCTGAACTGTGAGGGAAAGAGAGTTGTGGTGCCTGTGACTGCTCCCTCATCAGCTGCTGCTGACTCGCTATATTTACAAGGAAGTGACTGATTTTTCTGAGCTGAACACGAACCAGTAGATGCCCAGCAGCAGGTGCGATTACCCTACACCTCTTTTCTTTGATTTTTGTTAGGGTTGTTTTTGTTTGGTTTGGTTTTTGAAGACAGGGTCTCATGTAGCCTCGGCTGATCTTGAACTCACTAGGTAGCTGGGGAGGACCTAGACTCCCCGCCCCCCGCCCCCGCCTTCTCCTGAGTGCCAGGATTACAGGCAGGCATCACCACGGACAGTTCCCTGACACTAGTCTGTGTCCAGGTGGAGAAAGTGTTTCTGAAACTGTCATGTGATTCCATGAGAAACTGTCATTAATTTTGCTTCTTTTCTCCCCAACTAAGAAAGATAACCAGAATTCTTTTCTATATATGCATATACATATATATATATATAATTGAATTTTGTGTATTTTGTACAGAATATCTCAATCAATCTTAGTCATCTATATACCCCCTTCCCCACTGGCACCCTCCCATAACCCCACCCCCATGGAATTCATACATTATGTCATTTGTGTTAAGACCTGTTTTGTCAATTTAGTGTCCCCACATGACCCTCAGTGCAGGTTCATCTACTGAGGTCTAGTCAGTCTATTTAGAGTCTCTCACTTTAGGAAGATCAGCTCTTCCTCACCCAGCAGTACTCAGTTTCCAATAGTTCTTTGGCTAAGATTGGGACCTGCTGTCCATTCCCCAGTTCTAAGTTTGGTTTTGGTCTGCTTGAGTTTGCATGGGTCCTGTGCATGCTGACATCATTGCTGTAGGTTCATATGAGCAGGGTCACAGGAGCTTGTAGGCCTCTGTTTCCATACGGTCATGTACCGCCTCCATGGCTCTTAAAATCTTTCCGCCCCCTCTTCTGAAATGGTCCCTGAGACTTGGGTGGGTGAGGTTTAATATAGGAGTCCTGTGCAAGGACCAGCAATCTGCAGACTCTTACTCTCTACGTTTTGGCTATTTGTGATCTTGTGTGTTCCTGGCCTTCTGTTTTATGAGGGAGCTTCAAAAGATAATCAGAATTCTTTTTAAAGTAGAGACCACATCCATGTTCATGAAAACTCAGCCATTTAAAGAGGTGTTAGACATGCTTCCAGGCCTCATTTCCTGATATTTCTCAGTGCTAATGGCAAATGTCCATAGCCTATAGTAACAGGATGAAAATGTGTTTCTATCATGAAGACATAAAGGTGGTAGAAACTTCAGTCCAGATACTTAGAAACTTTGCCCTATGGTCAGATGGCACCCGTTCTCCTGGCTCTCAGTTTCACAGTGCTAAGAAATGTTTGGTCTCCATTATTTGCTTTAGTAACTATATGAAGCACACAAAAGATTCTATTAATGATTCATTTTTGGTTTTCCCCTTAGCTGTTGAGTCTTCCAGGACCAAATACAGCCAATAAAAACCTCAATGACACATCACTAGTGTGAAGATTTGGGCTGTAACAGTCCCCGAAGTCTCTGGTACCCAAAATTAGTCTCCAGCCTGTGGCACCCAAGCCAAGTTTCCAGTCTGTGGTACCACTGAAGAGTGGTGGCACCTTAGAATGAGGCTTACTGGGGGTAGTGGGACCTTCAGAAGGAAACGCTGTTGGGGTGGTGGGACCTTTGGGTGTGGTGTGACCTCGTTGTCCAACTGTAGTGACACTGAGTCTCCCTCATGAGCACTGTGGGCTTAATCATACTAGGTCATTTCGCGCTTTCATTCCTAGGCTGCATGAACCCTCCTACTGGACCCAACTAACATTTCTGAAGTACCATCTTTGTGCGTGAGCTGTGGGCTCTGGGATAGACGGTTGAACGGTAAAGGTGTGTTTCCCCACAGTGCTTAGTTCTAGCCGAGCAGAACAGACAGTGGATGGGTAAAATGAAGGTATGAACTCAGCATCACACTGGTATAAAAGTGAGGGACAAAGGAGGTGAGCATGGTTGTCAGTGATGGGGAAGTGACTCTGAGGCCACTTGAGTGTCCAGGTGGCTGAGGATGACATTTGTCAAGATGGCGGGGGGACAAGGTGAAGGAAGAGAAGGGGTACCCCCAGCTTCAGGAAACACGGGACGGGTGCAGTTTTACACAGAGGTCAAGCTGTGTCTACCCAGCACATGAAAGGACAGTAACAGGCCTTCTGTGATTAGATGCCACCCATGGCAAGTCATAGAATAGACCAAGATGAGAGAATGAAAAACCATCCCTTTGCCAGACTGAAAACAAACGAACAACGCTCCAAACCAGCAAAAATAGTGAGAATTTGGAGATGGTGATTTAGATTTTAAACAATAAATTTCAAATGATCAAAGGCAGGAGAAGGTGTTTCTGACTTCAAAAGAGCGTCTGCAAAAGCTCACGTGCTCCTAGGAAAAATGGATTCCAGTGTGCAGGACAGAGTTTGGATAGTAAGATAATGAAAAGCTCAGCCGAAGCAGGAAGGATGCAGGTTTCACTGAGGGTTGGTTAAATGCCCTGGAGTTCCAGCTCCTCACCGGTGGGGTGGGTGATGGTGAGTCTTTAGGGCTGATTAGAAAGGTATTGACCTGTGGGCACTGTGGCATTTGATGCTTTCTGGGTGCATCCTAGCTATAATCTGCTTTCATGATCGATGAGAAAAAGAAATAGTAATTTGAGAATTGTCTTTTTCATGGGCTGAAAGGTAACTCTTTTATATTGAATGAATGGCAGTCTCTTTTTTCTGCTAATGAGAGTTCACATGTATTGTTACTATTTTATAAAACTGTTTTTTGTGTGAATGTGTGGTGTGTGTCATGTGTGCATATGTGTGTCCAGATGTGTGTGCAAGTGTGTGCATGTGGAAACCAGAAGACAGTGGGTGTGCCCCCCTCAGATGGTCTCTCACTCGACCCACAGCTACTCTTGCTGCCTGCAAGTCAGTGATCTTCCTGTGTGCCTCCCATACATCTATGGGCATGCATGACCATGCCCAGCTTTTTATGTCGGTGGGAGAGATTTGAATTCAGGTCCTCGTGCTTGTGCAACAAGTGCTCTTACCCACTGAGCCATCTCCCCAGCCCTATAATTTTTAAAATATAAAAACTGAAAAGCAGAATTTTATCAGTTAAATTAGCCTCTGTCTTGCCCAGTGTTTGTTCAAACAGTGGACTTCCCACAGCTCGGGTGGACTTCCCACAGCTCTGGTGGGCTTCCCACAGCTCTGGTGGGCTTCCCACAGCTCGGGTGGACATCCCAGAGCTCGGGTGGGCTTCCCACAGCTCTGGTGGGCTTCCCACAGCTCGGGTGGACTTCCCAGAGCTCGGGTGGTGTTCCCACAGCTCTGATCCCTTTGTGTGTGTGAGTGCACTTTGGAGGTTTGCACTTCCCCCATGATTTTCTTTCTTCTGTTTCTATCAGGAACCATTGGTCTCACTTGTGCAGGGTTAGTCATAATGAACTGGAAACTCCAACGAGGCAAATCAAATGAACCCCGAGCATCTGGAAACCTTTGCTGCAGAGCTTTCCGTGAACCCCTGTGTGCTCACGAGTCAAGAAATGTCCATGCTGCAGAGCACCGTAACTGCCACTTCACTCAGCAAAATGAGACAGAGGTCATATCTGTTGTGGAGTCCAGAAAGGAAATGCCACTTTTACAGGAAAACAGCCACCCAGTAACATTGGCCCCAGAGCACACAGCCCTGGACACCTCATTCAGGAAGCTGAAAGGGAGGGACCATAGGGCAGACAGCACTTGCTTTCACCTGGATGACACGCCGCTGTGGACAGGATGCTCTGGGTCTCCTGGGAACCCGAGGGCTTTTTATGATGCAGGCTTAGTTACAAGACATTATCCAAAGATAGCTGAAAATCGACGCCATCTTAAACTTGGAGAAGTCCAAGCCCAAACCTTGCCCCAGAATGAAGCAAGAACAATAGGTGAGCTTGTTTGTTAGAAAATCCCACTGTGCTTCTTCCCTCAGAAGGACCTAACATTTTCTAATTTAATGAGCAAAAGTGCTAGAAAAATCCCTGTAGTCTGTCTGTTCCGTTTCTAAAGATGAAAAGGTATGAGGTCTGTGTGTGTGTGTGTGTGTGTGTGTGTGTGTGTGTGTGAGAGAGAGAGAGAGAGAGAGAGAGAGAGAGACTGTGTATAAGCATGTTTGTGTGAATTTGTCTGTGTTGAGTCTTTTTGGGTGAGCATGCATGTCTATGTATGAATGTGTGTCTCTGTATGAGCGTCTCTGTATGAGTGAGTACATTTGCCTCTGTGTGAGCATGTCTATGTGAGCGTGTCTGTGTGCATCTGGATGAGCTGTACAGGCTGCATGCCCATCCTCCACAGTGGAGAGTGTACCTCCTGTTTACTGAAAGCAAATTTGGAGACTCACCTAAGGATGTTTAAAAGAGGAAAAAGAATAAGCCTTTTAAAATCACAACAGTGCTGAGATTTATGGGAAGGTGAATAACAGCACTCCTTCCACATCCTCAGAGCTCTGACGCCAATCTGTAGCAAACGGCCTTCCCAGAGCAGGGCGTATGGGAAGCACGGGCCTTCTAACACCAGTAATTCATTTCAGGAATGATGTCAGGAAACACACTTTGCTTGCTGAGCTGTCAGGGATGATAACTTCTCAGTTCAGGGAAAGTCAGGACTTAATTCATTGTCCCATGTTGGGAGGCCAGTCAATCTGGTCATGACACCCAGCCGCTGCCATGAGTGATGGCAGCACTTGGTTGGAGGCAGTGAGTCCAGCATCTCCCTTTTCCTTCTGAAGATGGGGCTGTGCTTTCAAGGCCTGCAGTGCAGATGTGCTCAGCTTCTGCAAAGGGCTTCCCGCCACTTATTTCAACTGATTTTTTTTTTTTTTTAATGAGAGAGATGCTGTGTGAAGTTCTTACTGTGGGGATCTGTCCCTAAGGCTGGATTTGTGGACCATGGGATAAGAATGAAGCTATATTTTATTTCCCACATGGCTTACGGCAGGGTATGAGTTTATCTGCTGTAGTTCTTGCCACAGAGATGTCCAGGACACAGGAATCAGGAAAGATTAGCTTTACTCTGTAAAGAAATCGGCTTGTAGCCATTCCATTTCCTATTTCCTTACACCTTTTGGCTGTGCCCAATGGCTTGGCCTGTCTGTGGGAAAGTTCCACACCAAAGGGAATGTGGCTGGTTAACCCTCTGTATGCTAGCCCCGTGCTTCACTGGTCTGTGAGATCAACAATGACTTTAAGGAAGCACCCGAAATTCTGCTGAGTACCAGAGTTGGGTGAGGGTGGGTACACAGAATTCAGGAAAACAGCCAAGACCACACTTGCTCCACAGAAGTGGGATAGAAACGAGGCAGCTAAGCCAGGCCTGTGATGCAGGAATTCAGAATCAGACTTCCCGGCAAAAGATCACCCAGTTGGACAGTCCTTGCTACTTCCAGTTCTAGACTTTGAGAATCTGCTAAAGATTCTGTCCCTAGGACAATTTGTAGATTCATATAAGGTTTCACTTTAACCTGTCCTTCTGATGTCCTCAGAGTAAGGGTCTCATGGTCACTTACAAACTTGACAGCAGGACTCTGGGGCTTGGTTCACCTCTTCCTCTCACCCACTAAATAGAAGTATTTCCTTCTATGTCTAAATAAAACCATTTCATGAAACAGGAAGAAGTAGGCTGGTAAGGTGCACTTTTAAGCTCAGTCTTCACTATGGATGAGAAGATACAATCTGGTAGACAGGCTCAACTCCTGACGAAGATGGAAAGCAACAAAGTTTCTAAATACATTTCCTTACCCTAAAAACTGGAAGCTAGCAGGACTTTTCCAATGGCTCTTTGCTACTGTGAATATCAAATGAACTGATAATGTATAATATTTAGCACATTGCCCAGCTCTTTATCTGAACTCAACTAGTATTAGTTTTTCATTAACATTATTGAATATATATCATTAGTATTATATTCACCTACACCATTCAAAAGTTACAAGCAGAGATTGCTACATGACAAACCAGGCAACAGGCCAAAGAATCTACTGATTAAAAATCTTTAGTGACTATTACATTGAGTTCCAGGAAGCATAGATCTGTGACTTCCTTCTGATTTCATTAAAGCAATAGGTATTTTTTGCTGTTAAGTTACTGTTTGAGGCCTTAACACTGCTTAATACTGAACCTGTTCTTCCAAATATTTGCATTCCAAATAGGAAATGAACACAGTAAAGCTAATTGTGCCATTTGAAAAGGAGTCATATACTATTCATCATTGAAGCTAACATAGCTGTTGCCTAGTTTAAATGTGTTACCATGAATAACATTTAATTTCTAATACCTCAGTTTCAAAGTTGGCATCACAACTGACTAAAGGCATCACTGCAAACACACCAAGTGGTGAAGGGTTGACGGAAAAGTAGGAAATACTGGCGAACGGTCCTAGAGTCACTTTGCACTTTTCATATGGCGTTTAGGCTTTGCTTGGTTGGGGAACTGCAGCTGTGCTCAGGGCTAAATTCCTACATTTCTTGTTCTGCAGATCTCCACAGTGACATATTTAGAAGATACACAACATCCACACCAACCTTGGCAAGAGAGATTCTTGAAAAGCATCTACCTAAGGACTCTCATCAGCCTTGGATAGGAAATGGAGACAATGTTTCACAACGGCTCAGACAGAGGCCTTTTATCAAGAGCTTAGCAACCAAGCTGTGTGAGCCAGGGGAGCACTCGGTAGGCAGGGTCCTCCAGGAGCACAGATTGAAACATAGTGATTCTTGTGTGCTGCCCAAATGGAGCAAGCCTTTGGATTTCCATCCCAACAATTCCCTTCTCTGTAAATATGTGTCTTTTGATGAATTTCAAGATTATATGAAAGAAAGGAAGCCAGGTCATAGGGAACCCTCAGTGTCTGATAAAGAGCAAATTCAAATTAACAGAGCCATAGAAAAATTCCTCAGGAGTGAGGATAACATAGATATATGGAGGGGGTTGTCAGCAAGAACTAAGAAAGCATATTCTACTAAGAGGGTTAAATTCTATGATAGTGATTTAATGGGGAAAAAATCGCTGGCCATATCACCCAAAATGCCAGCCCACTGTAGACTGCTAGAAAATCAAAGCAACCATGCAACCTCCTTGGGTCTCGAAAAATGTACCAGCCCTGACATCAAGGGAGGGAGAGAAAAGTTCCCAGAGACACGGGTTCTGAAGAAGGGGAAATCAGAGCAAGCCCACCAGAAAGGGAAGGTTATAGGGCGAAATTTAAGGATAAAGTTAAACAGGAACCACTTTAGAAAAACCAGAGTCCATCCAGAACTGTGTCTGCCAGAATTTTCCAAGAAGCATAAACAAATGCTGTTACCTTCTAAGAAATTAGCCAAAACTTCTGAGAGAAAAAGCAAAGCAAAACCCTTGTCTTCTGCCAATTTTCCTCAGCAGTCAGAGAGTAACAGCTGTGTTAAATTCGCTTCCACTAAGCTGCCACCTGAATGTGCCCCAGAGCAGACCTCTTACTATTAAAGAAATACGACCAGTGCCCCTTCTCTCAGGGCTAACAACCTGTCTCTAGGCAGTGGGGGCTCCGTACAGGGCAGCTGTTACCCAGCTGGCCTGGTTCCTAATGGAAGCTCATCAACAGTGCCCCAGCCTACAGGCAGGGATGCTGAGTACCTACACTCACACCGTCTGTTCTCACCTGAACAGATGGAAAATGTCACTCAGCTCCAAGTAGAAGTTCTGGGTCCCTTACCAGCCAGTTGGGCAAATCCAAGGAGTAGTGTTTTAGCATCTCAACTTCCTGCAGGAGTTGTTGGCTATGTGGAAACTGAGCCTACCCAACACATAGGTCAGGGAAAATTAAAGACCAGGGAGATTAACCAGTTTAACTCAACCACCAGTGACCAAATCCAGCTCTCATGTGTGCACTCAAATGACATTTTATGCAAGGATCACAGTTTGGATAAAATACAAGCTTTACCACAGGATAAACAAAGCCCAAGCCATGAACAACTTGGAAATGAAGAAAAACCATTAGTGGAAAAATCAAAAATACCTCACAAAGGTCTGGGAAGTTATGTTCTGGATGGGGAAGGCAATGATGTTGAAAACAAGCTCTGGCACACAGGAGCCTGTGACTCCTCTCCCTTTGCCCAGACACAGCCCAGGAGCAACCTGCCATTCACAGTAATGCAGTCTATTCCACAACAAAACAGAGCAGGACTTCCCAGGGAGACCTACCCTTCTGGAAGTCAAGCCATTGGGCGCCTAACCAATAGCATCAGAAGAGGAACCACAAATGTATCACCCAGAGGGCACCATGGAGAAGCGCTCGAGCTCCAAGCAGGGGTGAAAGAAGAAAAGAGAAATCCTAGCGCAGTAATCTGTATGACACATGTGGCTGTGAAGGGCGCCATAGGTGAAAGGCAGTCACCTCGGGAAGATGGGAAAGAGAAGAAAGAGGCAGTGCACGGTTCCAGCTCTATCCGGGAGACCATTGCCTCTAAAGACTTATGTATCACAAGCTCTCGAGAAACCCCAAGTAGCATGCCTCAGGGTGAAATCGATCTTCAAATTAAAGATCTCTGTAGAGAGATTCAAAACATTCAAGGAGATGGAGCTATCAGTGCATGCAGGAATGGGGCCGGGCCAGAAGAGACCTCTGGAGCGCCTTGACTTTCATAGGAGTTCAAAGGGTGGAAAGGGTGTGCCTGTAATTCCTACCAGAGAACACGATGCTGAGGACTCTCCTCCCAAACCTGCCCTGCATCCACCATCTGCTGGGAACGCTCACCCACCACCTTTAGAAGCAGAATAGAAGGAAAGGAAAAATAGCTTGAATAACCATCTTTGTCTACTTCAGCTTTCTTCAAAAGCACTTTGGGAGAGAAATGTGCAATAATTCTTCATTCCCAGAGAAAGAGTTGTTCACACACTACAACACAAAAGTCAAAGATGGAAGCCACAGACTGTGTTCGTTGCAATCAAGTCAGCGTACTCCTTCAGTAATGAGAAGATGGAAAATTTTGCCTAGTCCTGGAAAAACTCCAAACAAACAAACAAACAAACAAAAAAACGAAACCAAGCAAAGGAAATATTCAACATGAAAAGGGCACTTTGGATTTGATGTTTATTTTATGGAAATTTTTATGCATGTCTTAATTAGTGCTATTACAATATTGCGTTATACACAGATGATTGTATATTCGCATGTGTGCCTGATCTGTTTTCCTAATTATGGTATAGAAGGGAAATTCAGTCTTATTTGTTAACTGTATTACATAGTGGTAAATTTCACCCGTTTGTAATTGTTCTGTCGATAATTATCTTAGATCTTAAGTAGAAGTCTTTAAAAACCTGTTATTCCCTCTAAGAAAGAAAAAATTTGAGAATTTCCAGGCAAAGTACCATTTTGGAGAAAATATGCAATATCTTACTATGTCCACTAGGTGGCGGTCGATCTCAGCTTCCCTCATTTGAGAAGTGCAAACAGGTTTCCAGATCAACACAATGGCTCTTGAACAAAAGGAATTTTAATGAGCTTTATTGCCAATTGCTGTTAATATAAGAATTTGAAAACCAAATAATGCATTTGCATGAGCGCTCGAGGTTTGATCTCTGGAGTTTAGCTTTCCGCTAGCGTGAGTAACCACCTTGCACAGAGGAATCAAATGTGCTTATAAATGTTGGATTTAGAAGCCATGCCAATAAACATCTTTCATTCAAAGTCACACTGATTTGGAAAGTCTAAGTGTATTCAAACAATTTTATTATTGAGGCCCAAGTAAGATATTTAGAACACATCTTCACTGCACAGACTATTATACTTCACATTGTGTGTGTGTGCGTGTGCACACGCGGGGGGGGGGGGAGTCAAACAGAAACATTTTCTGTTTTCCCATGTTTGCATGTGTCCAGGTCTGTGAGTCTTTTGAGTTAGATTTGGTACCATAGAGCTCACAGGGTGACCCGGACGATGCAAACATTGCTTGTGTGTCCCACCTCTCTTCCCTTTCCTGCTCAGAACTGACACCAAGTGATGGAACGTTCTCATTTTGAAAGCCCTTCACCTTCCTCTGTCCTTCCAAGACTCAGATCTCTCTGGTTTAGTTCTTGCCAACTATTTTTATTTGCCCTCTCCACAGGGGCTTAACCCCCATGCCACTTTCCTGCCTCCTGCTCCCACCTCCATTCTGGGAGACATCTTTGAGGTTAGAAGAGCATCTCTGCACCTTCTCCCGTGGTGAGTTGACTGACAGCTCTCAGCACTGGACACTGGTCTGTTTTTATATCTGTCTTCGTTTAGTGTCCCTGGAGTTTTTTACAGCGCTGCTTCTTTACTGCAGGGTCCTGTTCTCTCTTCTCTCTCCTGGCTGCCACAGCCTTCCAGCTGTGCAAAGGGCTAAGGGCCTGTCTTGGCCACTAGTTCCCTCTCAGAAGGCATCAGAGAGTCCTCTCAGGCACTTGCCTTTCTGAAATCTCATCTTTCTTTTTTGCATGACTCTGTCTTTACCCTTGGGTTTACGCCGGCTCCAGATCCCCATGGTAACCACTGAGGTCTCTGCTATAATCAACTGAATTATCGTAACAGCAGCTCGCAGGCTGTCCAACTTCAGTGCCCTGCATCAGTTTCCATCCTCTAATTCTCTGTCTTTGTGGGGCACACAATTCTAAGGTGCTTGTTTGAATCTGTGTTTTCAGGCACCGTCCTAGGGATGTTCAGGGGCCTGAGAATCTTGGCTTCCACAGACATGGCAGGCTGGGCGAGCAGTGTGCTGCTCAGACAAAAAGAAACAACACTAAATTATTCCAGGGACCACTGAAAGATGGTTCCAAGGTTATTTTATTAAAAGAGTCACATGCAAATTTTTGAGTAATTAATGAGAATTTCTTCATATCCAGCGATATCAAATATTGCTTCTTTTTTATTGCTTTAAAGGCAAAATGAAAATTTCATATAATTTCATGTCCAAATCCCTATTGCAGTTTCCAAAGATTTCTAAGGTCTGATGCTATTTACCAGGATGTTTTCTACTTTGTTATTTTAAAACTTCCCCTTCCTTCCAGGCCAATACCATCCCCATGCTTTGTGTGTTGTGCTTGATTCTTGACTAAGAAGACCCTCGGGGATGGTGTGTGTGTGTGTGTGTGTGTGTGTGTGTGTGTGTGTGTGTGTGGTTGTGTGTGTGTGTGTGTGTGTGTGTGTGTTGGGGGGGAGATACTGAGCTTCAAAATCCAAGTGTGGAAGCAAGATTTGAAAGAAGGAATGGAAGGTGTTAGTGTTTGGATCTAAAGATCTTGTGCCAAATGATACCAGGCATAGGAACTTAAACCTCTCAGTGACTAGAACATCCCAATCACCAGGAAAGCCCTTGGCTCTTTCTCCCAACGAACTTACACGTTTTCTTTTTGCTGGAACCATTTCATCGTTTCACCGGCCTCTCAGTCAGGGGTGTCCATTCATGGATTATGATCAGCCCAAGGATCACTTCCAGAAGTATGTCTCCCCTGACTTACTCTGTCTCTCTGTCCTCCAACTTGCTGGTGTTGATTTAGTGTGAATTTTCACAGAATCCTGTCTTCCTTAATTGTCTGTAGCTATGTATTTATTGATTTTCATTCATCTAATCTCCACCTAACAGGTCCATGACAGTGCCTCCACTGACTCCCTGGCTCCATCCCTAACCCTAACCCTAACCCTAACCCTAACAGGTCCATGACAGTGCCTCCACTGACTCCCTGGCTCCATCCCTAACCCTAACCCTAACAGGTCCATGGCAGTGCCTCCACTGACTCCCTGGCTCCATCCCTAACCCTAACCCTAACAGGTCCATGACAGTGCCTCCACTGACTCCCTGGCTCCATCCCTAACCCTAACCCTAACAGGTCCATGACAGTGCCTCCACTGACTCCCTGGCTCCATCCCTAACCCTAACCCTAACAGGTTCATGACAGTGCCTCCACTGACTCCCTGGCTCCATCCTTGAACAGTACAGTAGGGACTTGACAAATTAATCGTTGAAGGAAAATAAAATTTGGCCTATTGTCCCCTCTTCCTCCCCATTCACCCTACTGATATGGTAAGGACCTTTCTGGGCATGTTAAGGGCAATAGAAGAACAGTCCAGTAGGGACTTGACAAATTAATCTTTGAAGGAAAAAAAAATTTGGCCTATTGTCCCCTCTTCCTCCCCAGTCACCCTACTGATATGGTAAGGACCTTTCTGGGCATGTTAAGGGCAATAGAAACAGCTAGAAATTGGGACCTTGAAGCATATGCCAAGGCCAAGATAGGGCTCAGCTGACTGAAAAGCCCAATTTTGCCAGTACTTTGGCACTGTGCTTCCATGTGTGCTTTGTCCCAGAACTTATGTTATGTACTGCTTAGTAATACAACTTTTCCACTTAACAATTCTCTCTCTCTTTCTCTCTCTCTCTCTCTCTCTCTCTCTCTCTCTCTCTCTTTGTATCTTTAAATTACAATTTTTCTTTCTCATTTCCCAAATTATTTCTTGAGACATACATTCTACCCCATAATTCCTTTTAAGAACCAGCTTTTTAGACTTGCTTTTATTGCTACATAAAACTCTCACATGTCCCTTATCTAGGCTCATGATGAACACTTAATAAAGGCAAAAGGAATTCCCTAGACTGTCTCTTTACTTGAAGTTCGGCACAACTGTCTTCTCAGAGAGAGAACGAAATTCTGGAAAATGTGCCCAAGGTTCACACTGAAATGTGAGGAAAGGTCTAAACTATTTTTTAGTTTTTTAAAACTTATTTTCATTTTTTATATGCATGAGCATTTCCCCCGAACATAGGTGCACCCATTACACAATGCCCGCAAAGGCCAGAAGAGGGCATCGGATCCCTTAGAACTGATTGTTAGCTGCCACGTGGATGCTGAGAACCAAACCTGGGTCCTCTGGATGAGCAGCCAGTGCTCTTAACTACTGAGCCACTTCTGCAGCCCCAGTTCTCAAACTAGTCTAAGTCATGTCAGTTTTAGTATAAAACTTTCCAGACAACAAAATCCAGATGTGGAATCAGAGGTATTGGTAAGGAAGTATTTGTTCTTTTTCTCAACAAATAGACTTTTGAGCGTTTACTGCACGCAGTTCTAAGTGCTGGGGGTGTAGCAGCAAACAAAACAAGACAAAACAATCTCTGCTTCTGTGACCTTAACATCTGGGTTACGAGAGGAGTCTAAAGTCAGCATAGCACATGTCAGATTAAATGCTCAGGAAAGGAGGTTTCGTCTGAGATACCCAAACCACACCACATAAGAAATTTCGCTTCTCTCCTAAAAGGCTTTATTTGTGTAGTGAGATTGGGTAATGACTTGGTCCAGGTGTTGCCTTTAAGAGAAAGGGAGCTTGTTTTCTTTTCAAAAGTGTGGCATGCGGCTCCCTCTATGTGTCCTCTGGTAAAATGCTTTCTGAAGCAGCAACAGTCTCACTGTACCTGCTTTCTTGTTGAGAGGGAATGAAGTGTTCCTGAAGAATGACCAAACATGGCTGGACAGGAAAAGAACAAAACCCAGAATGTGTGGGTGTGGGCAGGGAGGAGTCACCAGGCCTTTAAAGGTGAGGGGCTCCAGTGTGCAGAATGAAGACCCCTGCCCTCCACTCAGAGGGGACTTGGCGGACTCACATCAAGTCACAGGATTTCGACAGATAAGAGAATGCAGCGGTAGAGGCATTCTTAGACGCTGGCACCTCTCAGTGCCAAGGGGGAGGCTGGAGCATCTCCTCGGTCCATGTCTGAGAACACGAGGCATCACTGTAGCTCACGTGAGGAGAGTCATTCCTTAGGTCCCAGATCCACCCTGGGACTATGTGAGTGCTCACTCTTTGTTCTTTTTCAAATATTTTTATTTTATGTGTATGCATGCATTGCCTGCATGTAGGTGAGTGCACCCGTGTCACACAGTGCACACGGAGGACAGAAGAGGCTCTCAGATCCCCTGGAACTGGAGTCACAGACAGTTGTTAACTGACATGTGGGTGCTGGGATTTGAACTCGGGTCTTCTGCAAGAACAGCCAGTGTTCTTAACCGCCGAGCCATCTCTCCAGCCCCTGTTCTTTTAGATCTATGACCCTGTTTGAAATATTTTCACTACTACATGGACTACTTACCTTTCACTTACTCCTTTCCTTAATACTGACCTCTCTCTGTGAGCGCTAAGTCTATGCTGTTACTGACATTCACACAATCATTTTGAGGGAAAGGAGGATGATGACCCAGACTTCTGACTCCTGTCCAAGCAAGTGTTGTTGAGACTTCTCCCCTGAGGTGTCCTGTCCTACTCTGTGAGAACGCAGCTCCATTGTACCTCGTGCCAAAGTTCTTTTTCCAGAAAATGGCTCAGTGTGACTCAAGTGTGTCTAACACAGCTACAGATGAGGCTGGACTGTGAGTGGCCATCATACCCAAGTCTCCCTTACTAATCAGCTGTGAGAAACATTTCAAAACCAGGGAGCAACAGCAGACATCTGAGCTCCTCAGGTTCCCAGAGGCAATTAGAGAAAGAGGCACAGAAGGCAGATCAGTCTTCCACCAGGACATTCTTTAAACACGCACTGAAAATAGATGTCTGAGCCACACTGTGACAGATTGTGACCGTAACACATTTTATAAGAGGAAGTGAAAAGCACTCACTTCAGGACATGCGTTCCAGCCTCGCATCAGCAGAGACGAGATGGGTTTGGGGATGGAGTAGCCAGTGGGAGGTCTGATGTGGTGGTACGCCATGTCTGCTGCTGCCGCTGCTGTGAAACAAAGTTGCAAAGAAAGGTTAGAAGAGATGAAAGTCATGAAAATTCCACGTGTGTGAGATTCCAAGGGGCCTCTAGGCTGTCGTTTCCTTTATCCTTTGAACAAAACAGGAGATAATCTCATACTCTATAATTTTTCATTCATGTCACTGTTGATTCAAAACATAGTGGGCAGTAAGAGTGTGGTAGCCTTTAATCTCAGCACTCAGGAGGCAGAGGCAGGTGGATGGATCCCTGAGATGGAGGTCAGCCTACATAGCAAGTTCCACACCACCTGGGGGTACAGGGAGACCCTATCTCAAAGAACCAAGCAACCACCACCACCAACAACAACAAACAGTGAGCAGAGGGAATTCACAAGGAGCAATGGAACATGGTGGGACCACTAGTGCATGTGTCTGAACAATGTTCTAGGATCCAAAGCCTAGAAACTGAATTGACCAAAACTGAGCAATGTTGGGCTGGTGAGAGGGCACCATGGTGCTTGCGGCCAAGCCTGATGATCTGAGATTGGTATCTAAGACTCACATGGTGGAAGGAGAGAATTGACTCCTGTAAGTGGTCCTCTGACTCCACATGTGTGCCACTGCACATGCGTGTGCTCCTGTACACACACATAAATGAACAAAGTAATAAAAAGCTTAAAACTGCATAACATCATACATCCAAGTTTAGCATGTATGTTGTGTCTAGAAAGACACAGGTACCACTGGACCTTTTGTATCTGAAGGTACTTGTATTTCTTTGGGAAATATTGAAGTATTGATATAAGAACATTGAGATTTAAACTTTTAATATTGATAAATCATTTGTTGGTAAACTCTGAGGACAATTCTAATCCATAATTTCAGCCTGATTTGCTCATGGATGGAGCTCCTGGCTCTGCCTGGAGACAGGGATTTCCGAAGTTCGTCACCACAGACTATGTTGTAGATTTATGATTACTTAGTTATTCTCTGTTTTTCAATCAGTGATTTCCTTGTTCTGCCAGAAGCTAAGTACATAATGTCTTTTACTGAATGTCCTGTGTAGGCATCACAGTAGTTACAGACATGAATTCAGGTTCTCTCTGCAATCATTCAAAGCAATATTCATGTGTGATCATGACTAAGGTGAGTTTGTAATTCATACCCATGTAAAGGTAGTTGGAGCCACCTTTCATTCCAGAACCCAAGCTCTTTCCACACACATCATAATGACAATGGGTGGTAAATAACATGGGATGTGTAACATTAATCTCTAAACCAGTTGGAGGGCAGAGCTTGAAGTCACCCTGTGTCCGGGCTTATGGCTTGTAGTGTCATATGCATCTGCCTATATCTCCATGGCCTTTGATTTATAACACTAAGAAACTACTATACCGAAAGTTACTTCCACTGAATTCTTAATCCATTTGATTCCAGTAGATCTGGTGAAGTTACATATGATGTAAGTTTTAAATTGTCCTTGCAGTTTGGATTATTACGAATTAAGATTTTTCCAATTGTAAGATGAATATGCACTCTTTGCAGAAACTTAAAAAGTTAAGAGAATTTGGAGGAATAAAATTTTATTAAGAGGAAAACCTTTCTACCCATGAAGTGAGTTAAGTGATGCCCGCCCAGTCCTCCCTCTCTGAAGTTCTTTCAAGCTCTCTTATCAAGTCCATAGAGCAAGTGTTTGTTTCTTCACTGTGTGTCTGGAAAATCAATTATAAGTGAATAATTTTTGTTAAAATATTTTGAGAATCTTTTGAATTTTCTTCAAATGATTGAGCTCATGTTGACATTCAATTATATAGTTCTTTTTCCTAGATTAAAACATTAAGCAATTAAGCATTTACCATGTTATTAAAACTATGTGTTAACATATTTTAATGACTGCATTTACTGTGATTTACTTAATCATTTCTCAGTTTTAGGTTATTTGAAATTACTCAAAGGATATCTTTCAAAACCTGAATTTCCATATTTCATAGATTAGACATTGATGGTATATTAAGGGGCAAATGACATAAGTACTTCAAATTCTTTCGAACATACCGTTAAACTGTCTTTGAACAGTTGTAGTAGTGGATATTCCCCAGAGCAGGTGTAGAAGACAGTGACTGGCACATCTGCACCTGCAGCACTTGTTGTGGGATGCCACGTTATGGTGATGCCTGAATTCAAAACAGCCTGACTCTTAGAGTCATTTTAACATCATGAGTGGGCCTGAGCTGCTGAGGACCTGTTCCTTCAGAATTCTCTTGGAATTTTATTCTCCAACAAAAGGCTCATTCATTCCTTTAGTGGAAGTATCCACCATCATGTGGGGAGGGGCAAAAGTCAGGCCCTTATGAAACAAATTTGCCCTTTCTGATCCCTACACACACACACACACACACACACACACACACACACACACACACACACACACAGAGTATTGGCGACTTTCTCTTGCTGTAATAAAATACCATGACCAAAGTAACTCAGAGACAAAAGTTTATTTGGGCTTAAAGTTCCAGAGAGCTGAGTTCATCATTCCTGTGGAGGCATGGCAGGAAGCAGCTGGAGCAGAAGGGTAACAGCAAAGAGAAACACAGCTCTGAACGTTCAAAGCTGACCCCAGTGATGTGCTCAAAGTCCTAGGGATTTCCCAATCTTCCCAAAACAGCACCACCAACTGAGCCCCCAGACACTGCATCTAAAACCACCACACAGAATCATAAACTGATATTATCGATTTCTCTTATTGTTTTCAATAAGTGCTGTTTGCATTGCTTTGATATATAAAACATACATATGCACCTTCATATATTATTTTGGGTGTGGGGCAAGGAAGGAGTGATGAGGGATTAGGGTATGTGTTCATGTCACAAGCGGAGCATGTTTCAGTGAGTTGTATACATTATAAACAGGCTAAAACAAGATTAATTTTTTGGCTGCAAGGTTAGGTAATAGTCATTTGTCCAGAGTACATTCATACCATAAAAGTCATTTCTACATGCCCCAGTGAAAGACTGTATCCATTCCAATGCAGATATACATTTGTTATTGTTGACACTGGGTTCTTACTTATCAAAAACATCTCATTCGGCACACAGTGTAGGCAGGCTGGATTCCCTCTACTGGTTGCTCTGGACTGTTTTTAATTGTTCCAAGGATAAATTAATTCACTGGGCTGACAGGTAAACAGATGCTTTCTGATCACTGCTCTGACTATACTATGCTTCTTCATGATAGTGCTGAGTCCGCACCAGCAAGTGCACAGAAATCAGAGTAGTGAGCATCTTTAACTAACGTAGGTCTCTAATGGGTGGAGAGAGGCTGTCCATACGATGATTTAAACTGATGTCAGTCCTGGGCATCTCCTTTTGAAGTCTTTTTGGGGTCTGGCATCAAGTGTGGAGAACAACTTGTTTACGTCTTGGTGTGTCTGAAAAGCCAGTTTTGATGAACGGTATTCCTTATTCAAAGCACATTCTGGAAACATTTTTTGTCCCTCCCATTTTCAGTCCTGTCCATGAGGCTCTCCTGATCACCCCCATGGGAACGTGGGCTCTACAGGGCAGGGGGTCATGGCACTGCAGGATGCTACTTTTTGATCGGTTGGTCAGTCTTGCCTGTGGCCATTCTGCTCTGACAGCTGGAAAATTTTCTGGTATTACAGATCCAGAAACAAGACTGTCAGCTCATTCATCAAATCTTTTCATTGATTGTTACAGAAAATATATTAAATGATTTATGATTTATGGAAATGTTTTCTACTTACAAAAAAGAAAAAAAAATGTCCTTTGAAGAAAATAAGCCCAAATCTAAGCAGAACCCAACTATTCATTCAGCAATTATTTTTAAGCTTTATCCTGTACAAACTACATTTTATTGAAACATAGCCAGTTATAGAATAGAGCTGCCTTCTAGACCTTTCTGAAATGACGAAAACACTCCTTTTCACTGTTCAGTGTGCAAGCAGAAGCCTTGGTCACTTAACCATGGGAACGTGGCTGAGAAATTGAATTTATAATTGGACTAGTTTCAATTATTGTAGACTTGAATTTAAGCGGCCATGTTCGGTGGCTTCTGCACCTAACAGCACTATTCTAGAAACTACTTTTTACTTGCTCTTGTTATCTAGCATAATGAGACTTGAACACAGTTTTGTAAGTCAGCCCCAAGGGTCTCTGGAATGGAGCCAATTCGTGGATTCAAACTCCTCACTGTCAATGCTTCTCAAAGTAGACAAGAGCATGGATTGGCAGTGTTGTCCTGGAACACAGCTAAGACCTACAGGACAGTCATCCAGTATGGCTGGCACCAAACCTCCTCCATATCCCTGTATCTAAAGGTGCTGAAGGGGCTGGCGGATGGCTCAGCTGATAAAAGTACTTGCTACACAAGCCTGATGACCTGAGTTCTGTGCCCAGACCCACAAGAGAAAAAGAGAACCAAGCCCCCAAACTGTGCTCCAACCTCCACACATGTGTCATGGCACAGACATGTTCACACACATGCACACCATAGTAATAAATAAAACAAACATGTAGAAAAGTTTAGAGTATTCTGTATAAGTGATAACAGGCTAAGTGAAAATCTAGTGTTATTATCCTCAATAAAATTTGGCAAGTGAAGAGACAATTAGGAAGTGAATGAATTTTATGCCTTTCATGTTTGGGGTTAAAGTCGGAAATATGGCTGGTCTTTCCTACTTTTCCTTCACAGCATCTGTTGTTCTGAGAGTTAGATCAGATCGACTCACAACCATTCCTGCACACTCCCACAGCACCCCATGCTACAGCAGCACCTACTGCCTCACACCTCAAAGCCCTGGCCTGTTCGTGGAGACCAGAAGCCCCTGGAGGTCAGGGACTATGTCTCTTCAGGAATATGTCATTTGTGCCCAGCACAGTTACTGGCAATCAATAAACATTCAACAATGTATGGACTCAATGAATGTAGAGGCTGTGACAGGTTAAAGTGTGACTTAACCGCAAAATACTATGAGTCATATTTTATTAGACTCAGGAAACATTTATT